AGAGTGTCAGATTAGCATTAACGGGCAAAATAGTTGATAGGCTAGCATTAAGCTGTAGTGTAACAGTTACAGAAGATATTTGATATATTGTATAGATATGTTTAGTATCAATAAAGACTTGCATCTAATGCCGTTCAACTTAAAAAAAAAAAAAAAATTATTTTTTAATAAAATAACTCTTAAATTATTTCAAATTAAAATTAATAGACTAATCAAATTAGCTTATAAAATCTTCTTCAAATACTTCAAATAATCTTAATAATTTATAGTAGTTTCAACCTATCAATATTAAAAAAAAAATAGAAAATTATACTAATAGATAATTTAATATTCAAACTCTTTATTTCATTTATCAAAAAATATATAATACAAAATATTTCATTTATTTAAAAAAAAAATCAATTTGATTTTGTCTTATTTGCAATTTAGAAAAATTTCATTAAGACAATTGAATTCTTTATATAACAAAATTAACTAAAGATTTTAAAATTCGAATTTGCTTAATATAATTTTTATTTTATTTTAATAATGCAAAAAACTCAATTAACTTTCTGTTTGTCACACTTTAATTTTAATTTAAAAAAACAACTATCAATATAACAAATATTTTTATTATTAAGTTTACCAATCAGTTATTAAAGTTTTAAAATATCATTAAGCTTATTTTATTACGGCTTGTTATTTATATTGATATAATTTGGCTTGATCTAAAACTTAATTGGTTTAGAACTTTTATAAATATCAAAAATCTAATTGGATTTTATCTAATTTTAAAATAATATTTGGATTTTTATATAATATTTAAGTAATTATCAAAACTTGCAAAAGATATTTATTTATATATAAAAGAATATTACTCAAATGAAAACATTTCACTATTAATCCCAATAACAACTTATTCAGATGTTCAATTAATATTTTTTCTTATAGCTTCTTTTAATTATTATTTATATACATATTAGTTTTTATATTATAAATATTATTCAATTAGTCTTGCAATCACAAATATCTCTTACTTAATATAATTAATAAATTTTCTAACTTATTACAAGACAATAAACATATTTTACAAGAAATTAATATTCTGCCACTTTCTTCTTTGAAACAATATTACAAAAAATTAATTTTCATTAATATATTCTTATATAATTTTATAAAAATAACTTATTTATAGATGATATTAAAGCTGTATCTCTTAATTTATTCCTGGTATCCAGCAATATCCTGTTTACAATATTTAATATTATTTAAGAAAATTCATATTAAACCACTATTAAAAAGAAAATTCTTCAAAAAAATAGTAAAAATCAACTTCTTAGCACTAATTCAGAAAATAAGTCAACAAATATAACAAGTCTATACAAATTATTTATTTCAAATTCAAATCCAAATCAATATTAATTAGAATTATTTAATGAAATAATTCATTTATATTTTCCAGAAAATCCTTTAATTAACAATACAAACTTAGGTAGCAGCATTAAATAATGCAAAAAAATCTTTAATATTATCAGAGACTATATAATCTGTGAAAACTTATCTATCTTTTAGACTTTTGGATACACACATACTTCACATGACTTGAAAATTATTAACCAATTTAACAAAATTATCAAAAAAACACATAATAACAATTACAGTATAACAACTTAATTGCATTTAGAATTAAACTAAGGATCCTAATGATTCTCTTCAATTCTGTATTCGATTCTCAAGTTTATATTAAATTTAATAGGTGGGGTATAACCCACCATCATTTTTAATAGTGTTCTGAACCTCATGTGATTCCCTACAATTCTGTTTGATTCCAATTTTCAGAACCATAAATTAAACTACTTTTAAAAACTCCTACTTGTCAAATACTTTATCAATAATATTCCAACCAATATTTAATACTTTATTGACAGACTTGCCAATTATATCCCAAACATTATATAGTATACAAGTATACAGTATACACTGTTATTTATAATTATTTATTAAATTGTAAAAAAAATATTTAACTGAAAATTAAAATTATTATTTTGTTATATCAACTTTTTTTGTTTAAAAATTAATAGAAAATGCAATGTCTTTATGTTTTAACAAAATATATTAATAAAGATGATGCCTTTGGTTATTGATTTTTAAGTTAGTATAATAATAATTGAAGTTGTAATTTTTTAACATTAACTTATAAGAATGTTTTTATAGAATAAGTAAAGATGAAGTGAAATAGGAAAAAATCTGTAAAGCTTTTACCGTGTTTTTTTTATTTTACATTCTTTAGCTAAGCGAAAAAGCTGTACCTTTTTTTACACTATCTTATTGATACATATTGACTTCTGAATGCAATAAATAATAATACAATAAGTCTATGATAAACAAATTTACAATAGTAGCCCTAGTCCAACTTAACGAATTAACCCATCCAATTTCAAAGCGGATTTAACCATCTTCCTTTTGTTCTTGGGTGGAGTATTGAAAATCTTCCAGAATCTCAAAGTATTATCATCACCGCCTGCACCCGTGACAATATCTTCACCATTCGGAGATAAAGCGAAATAAAGTACACGGTAAGTGTGTCCCTTTAGTGTTGCAATTTTTTCCATCGATGGATACCGCCAAACAATTACATCGTTATTCCACCATCCATGAGTAGAAACGATCTCATTCGCGTTTGGTGACCATTGTAAATTACATACCTTTATTTAAGAGTTGAAAGAAAAAGTTATAAAGGAAGTGAAAAGTTCATAAACGCCGAATTTGATATTTAGCTGGAGTCTACCTGAGACTTGACGTTATGAATAGACAAACATTTTGCATTTAAAGTATTCCAGAAGCGAACTTGTCGATCCAAGTGACCACCTCCGCTAGCCAATAAGTTACGTGTATGTGGACTCCATGAAAGAGCACGAACAGCAGCTTTATGCCCATCAAGACTTTGAGTTGGACTACAACTTTCACTATTCCAGATAAAAAGTTCGTTGGCGTTACCACCACTTGCCAATTGATCTCCTTCGTTGTTCCACTTTAAGCCACATATCTTAACAAGTGTTAAGGGATGAAAAGGCCGTGTATTTTACTCTCGTGAACATGAATGTGCATCTTGTAAAAAAGAACAAACTCCTAGTTAATCTTTACCTCGGATTTGTGTCCCGTCAAAACGCGAAAAGTATCACGAGGACTCCTTTGATCTCTGTGGAAGATACAACGGTCTGAACTACCAGTAGACAACAGGTTACCACTCCACGCGATTGTTCCTAAAAGTTTGTATGTATTTGTTGCTTAGATTATTAAAGCGACACGAGAAATAATAATAACAAAGTTATTATACTGTACTAACCAACTCGTCCCTTGTGTGCTTCCATATCACGAATCTTCATAACCTTTTGAGTGTCCCAGATTTGAACTTTACCTTCGGCCGTACTGATAGCAAGTTGAAATTCCTGCAAATGATAAGTAAATAAGAAATCTGCGACTGAATTGATATAAACTAAAATATGGTAATTACGCGCTACCTGAGGAAGCCATTTAATGGATGTAACATAATGTAAGTCGCCCAAATCGCACAATTTTGTCATCTAACAATATCATATCATACCGTATTTTTTTCAAATAAACTTCCTAGATATAGCAAAAAAAAATCAGCGTACCCTTGACGTCCCGGTATTCCATAAATAAACACAGCTTTCAAGGCCCAATCCTAAAATTTTGGAAGGAGACCAGTCGACAACATTCAGATAAAAATCATCCTGAACATAATGAAGGATGGCATATTGAATTAATAATATAAAATTAATTACACACGATAATTAATATTACCTTAAGCATCAATTCGTTGCAAAATGTAAGAATTTGATATGGAGTTGGATTAATGACTCTCTCGGGCTTACGAGGTGTTGTCATTAATTCCTCAACCTCACGAGATAAGATAGTAGTTGAGTAAGCATTTCTAAAGGGTGTATCAAAGACGCGGGAGTGTCGCAAAGAGGATTGAAATTTAAAAAGATTCTTTCTAGTTGAAGACAATGATCGGATTTCGATATTTTCAATGTTATCACTGGACTTGTAATAAGGGAACATGATTCTTTGGACTATAGACCTATGCAGACGATCTTCCTCTATGGGATACGTGTTGTATATTAACATTTTAAAAAGTTCTGATAAGAAAACGCACACTGTATTATAGCACTCACGTTTTTCTTTTCCACTCTCTAGGTCACCTCTTTTCCGTTTAGATGGATTTGATTCCGAAGACGGTGCAGGATGACTTTGAAATTCTGTTATCATGTCACCAGTTCTAACAGGAATGAATCTACACGATAAAATGTAACTCTCTAAATCTTCGTGTAATCAAAAGGACATAGGCTAGCATCTAATCCTAATAGTGAGAGAACTTCCGAAAAATCTAAGCACCATACCTATCTCTATAAAAATGGGTCGTTCTATTTATGCTTGCAATATAATTTTCACTCGTTTCTTGCGCAAACGAAGTATTAGACGAATGGCCACCGGAAGCAAGCAAGGAGTCAAGTTCTTCTGAAAGTTCGAATGAAGTTGAAGAAGCAGTGCTTTCATAAGTTTCACTAGCATTCGGAATGAAGTTGGAAGAAGAGAAGGAAATGAAATCTAAAGCAGGTTTATTTTCAACAAATGGCATTGGGACGATTGAAATTGCGTAAATAATGGTCAGTGAGGTTCAAAAGCGAAACGGATGTTATTTTATATGAATCTCTATTTAACACTAGAAATTGGCTGAGTCTATTTCGTGTAAGAATCACGGTTAATATCACGGTTATTTTCTCGGTGTGATTATGCGTGTGATATTCAGATATACTTCGCGAAACTTTTTTAAAATTTCTTCTTGTATAGGTAAACTAAGAAGAAACTTCGTTAGACTTTTTCACACCTTTTTATCTCATCAGCATTATTATTAGCCAGTGCAAGCAAAAATCATTTTACTTGGTTTTTGTTTACCAGACCATTTTCCTTCCACGCGCAGGTTATCATTTTGAATTTACGTCAACTTAGCGTTAATGCGAAACGTTTGCGTATTCATTGTTAAAAATTAAAAATATGTACAGTATAATTTATTTTAAACTTTAAACTTTCTTAACACGGTATATAAAATATGCACGTATATATAATTTTATCTTATTCATTTATATTATTAATAAAACTCTGATGTTGATGTATACATGTCATTATCAAATAATGTACTGTATATATAAATTAATATTTTTAATTACAATATAATTTTGTATTTATCTGAATACAATCTGATCCAAAAAAAATCAGAATTGAATTTTTTTTATAATTTGATAAATAATAATTTAAATTAAATATAATCTTTAATATACAGTATATTATTATTTTTTGGGAAGGTTCCTCAGTAGGTAAATATCATTTCTTTATTTGATATTGTATATAACAAGGTATACATCATGAAAGAAACAACATCTCTTGGGTGCATTGCATA